TGTATCAGGACCCTTCTGAGCTGCAACTACATTTCACATCCCTGCTGGCTTTGTCTCTGCAGCAAGCTACTCCTGCACCTACCAGCACTTTCCTGAAGGCGACCTCCTGGGCCCCCATTGGCAAAGGTAACTGAGACATCCTACACACTGCATGCTTTACGTGCTCAATATCAGTTTCATCATTAATATCAGATGCCAAATATTGTGATGGCTGAAATATCCCACCCACAACTCAATGTGCTTCACAAGCAAATAGGCTAGGCCCTAATTCAGAGCTAGCTGTACCAATGAAAGGAAGCCTTGCTGGTGCACACAGCAGCCCCTTGAGAAGATGAGCAAGGAAAACCCATCCTCCTCCCTCTTGCCTTTAGACAGTGGCAGGAGCTGTGTGAGGACACAGGAGATTGTGCATGGCGCAGCTCACTCTGCAGTGCATACATAATTTATGCTTTTCCAGTTGCGCATTTCTGGACTTGGGACTGTTTGTGCAAAATGGAAGCTAAGATGAAAGAAAACCAACACCACTGTCACAGCCACCTTCTGTGTTTAAGCCACCTAATTTCTGACACATGACCTCCACAAGTAACGTGAAGCACCAGTACTGTGCTATATGCATGTATATAAATGTATACAACATACATGAAACGATAAACATTTTCCACGGCACAAGAACAAAAAAGAAAACATAAGATATTTCCAACTCTATTAAGCTGCTTTGGCAGAGCACAGCACTAGCATTATGACAAGAGTTTCCTGCCATGCAGGCAGCACAGTGAGTGATTACAAGACATCTCAAAGTTAAAAAAAATCAGCTGAGAAGCCTACTTTGTTCCAACCTGCTCTCACTCAGAATTTTGACATATACAACCCCAGGTACAGTAACAGACAGGCAGAACACGCCAGGCCCTTATTTTGAAAACAAGGCACACTTCTATTTTCCCTCAGCACACAAACCACTTCCATTTATCTACCCGTGCCGTTGTTGCGGGTTTATCAGCGCGTCCCCACGACATGTCCTACAGGACCTGTCCCCAGATGCTCCCACGTGGGCCGGAGGTGGCTTGTGCCCACACCGTCACCCGAGGATAGCATTTGGACCAGCAACCCTCACCACTCTGCCCAACCTCTTCCTCACCCTGCACCTTTTGGCAGTGCCTGAGCCCTGCACCAGGGCTTCTCCTTGCCCAGCAGCAAAGGGCTGGCGTGGGGCTCTGCAACCCGAGACCACGAGCCAGCCGGCGGGACGCTGCAGTAAATATAAATCTGGCTCTTACCCACAGGCAGTCCCTCGCAGTCAGACATCGTGCGAGAAGCTCTCCTCGCCAGGGGCTTGGGAAAACACGGCAAGCAAACAGCAGCGCGGGTCCTTCTCCTGGAGGAGGCGGGGGTGGAAAATATCTCACGATTTACAGCCACCCAGATCTTCCACGGTACGGCTACCCACCCAGAGAGCTGCAGCAACAGTCCCGTCTCTGCCTTCTCATTATGGGATGTAAAGATAAGAATGTGCTTTTGTGCCAAAAGAGTGTGCTATTGGTGGATAAATTTGTTGTCATCCCTCCCCTTCACGGAGTTTCCTCTTTAATGTCACAGAGGCACATTACCCGGGCTGAAAGGCCATGGAATATTTATGAAACAGCTTTTAAGAGCTGAGCCGCAGATTCGTGCCGGAGGACAGGACTGAGGCTGTGCAGGAGCAGCACTGCAGGCACAGCCATGGGTCAGAGCTGGGACAGGGCAGAGCTGGAGTAGCACAGCTGGATATGGGGCCAGGAATAAACCTGCTTGTTTTATACTTCAGAGTCTGGGAAGCAGCACTTGTGACACTGCTGTCCCACAGCATGCATTTTGCAGTGGCAATGCTCTGGGGGGTAGAATGTTCTGTTACTTTTCGTGACCACTGCTCACTTAAAACACACAGCTTTAATGAAGCATTTCATGGTTTCCTTTAAAGCATGACTTCTTAAACTTCAGGAATGTTTTCATGGAATTTGCTCTATATAAAATTCCTAGATCTTTCAGGCATGTCCAGTCAGTAGTGAGGATCCATGTAGACTACACCCTATGTTACTTAATACTGTGTCACAAATGTTTGTGTGTGGGGTGCAGAACTGGAGATCGATTGCTGAAGGGGATCAGAGCCCTTCGGGGTGCACTGGAAGGTGCTCTCAGAGCCCATGGCACAGCCACCTGGGCAATTTGCTGCTGGAGCCTGGGAGACATCTCATTTCAAAGTGCTCCCAAGGAAAAAATAAAAGGCTTCACATACATGAAGTGCACTAAGTATATGCTCAGCATCTCTGATAGAGCTGGGCTGGTTTCATTCAGGTTCTTTCCTCTGAGTACTCAGCAGCACAGTTAGCCATGGGTAGCTTGAGTCTAGGATAGCAGGCAGCAACCCAGAATATCCCCAAAATGATGCCTCATTTTCCCTACACAAGGTCTGCCAAGAGGCTCCTGGTGCTCTCTGTCCAGCACTGTGTGTGATGGCTGGTGCAGTTTTGCTGGCATGAAGTCTGCAGGCATCCTTCTGCCACAAACAACCATTGGAAGAGACTGTTTCCATGTGTGTTCATGCAGCAGCCTAGAGATATTCTTCAAAGCGTCGGCTCCAGAGAGAAAATACCACATCCACAGCCTGTGCCCTTCTCCCCATATAAGAAGAGCAGGGCATTGCATCCATCCTTCCCCTTCACATACTCCCCATTCTGCTGCCACCTTTAAGGAATTACTCCTGATCTGGGAGATACAGAGTCAAGGAGGAATCTGTTCTCATCCTCTGTACATATCAGGGAAGAGCAGAGGGCTTACACCAGAACAGAGAGCCCTTTTCTCCCTACACAGTTCCAGTACAGAAAAATTTTGTTCTGAGATGAGTCAATGGAGGCTTTTTCCAGCTAGGCTCTGTACAAACAGACTCCCATTTCTGGAGAAACATATATACCAATTGAACTTCATACCCCACAAGCTCCTGGACCCACTCACAGTTATAAAGTGAAACAGCTGCCTGAGTATTTACAGGCTCAAAGGCTGGCCATCCCACCCTGCACTCAGAGCAAGCAGCTGTGGCTCATTCTGAGGTTACCTCTTCCAGCTGTGTGCTCATGCTCCTCTGCTGCTGGCCAGAGTCCTCCAGCAGTGCCGGAGTGGTTCCTGCAGTGAATTCACACCAGCTCCCAAGCCTGTGGCTCTGCTCAAACTCACCTTCACAAATGCCTGAAGAAACCTGCACCTCACTCATCCCCTTCACTTGGCTTTTGGCTCAACACCTGGGCAAGGGCAGAGAAGGCAGCAGAAAGGGCAAGGGAAGGTACAAGGGCATCTGCAACTACTATAGCAACATTGGCCAGAGCCATGATTAGAACTTGGCATCCCACTTCTGCTGAGCCCTAGGAGGGCTCCATAAAACACTAAAACAGAGTAATAACCATTGGGCCAGAAGTTGAACACATTCTAGCTCTTATGGGGCTACTCATCACCAGATACCTTAAATAAGGACTTTTTCAATTAAAACTTTTCCTCTAATGCCTGGATATTTTGGTTGCAGAATTATTTTTTCAGAGAATATAAGACTTATTTTCTCCTTTTTTTTAGAGTAAAAAAGAATATTTCTTTTAAGCTTCTCTGTCTCTCAGGCTGAAAGGAGTCTGGAAAGATACCAAACCTAGAAAACTGAAGTCTGAGAGAGGAAAGTCTGGGGAATTTATGAATAAGCCTAGTCTCTATCATGGTATAATACAAAAGAAAGATGGTGTAATACAAAAGAAAGCACAACAACAGCAGAGTAGCAAGATCCAAGGCTGCAGCAAGTGAGGATTTGAACAAATGCAACAGCTATAGGCACAGAAATAAAGGAAAGCAGCTTACCTTCAAAAAGCCTCTATCAAAAAGATAGAGATCTCCAGCAAAATACTCTTACCCCTCCTGCCATCCCTTAAATGAGGTCTGGAAAGAGGTGGATCCTGGCTCCACCCCTTCTGGTCATTCAGCTGCATTGCATGCACCTGAGCTCCCCTAGATTGGCTGTATTCTGACCATTTGCTCCATCACTCATTCAGGCCATGAATTAACTTTTCTGCTACACATGGCAAAATACGAAAGCTTAAAATTGCACTAAACAATAAAATGTGAGAAGTAAGCACAGAGTATTACAGTGGGTATTAACATGATAAATATCCATCAGTAAGCACTCTCTCTTGGGCTTTATGAGGAGCACAAAGGATGCTTGTTCCTCAATGCACAGAGAAAACAGATCGTGGATCTGCCTGCCCTCCACACTGCTGCCTATCACGCACTCTTCTGCATCAGGTCAATGACAAATGCTGTGGGAGGAATGGTAAATTTAATATGCGGAAGGAAGCAGTGGAGTATCGCCTACAAAAGGTTGGCCCTGGCCTCCCTTGGTCTCCTGTGGAAGGACACATCACTCAATGCTTCAGGGAGGAAGAGAGGCAGCGTGTGTGGGATGCCCAGCTCATGTCCCAGCAAAAGGGCACAGGACATTGCAGAGCATCTGCCCACACTGTCTTTACACTGGATCTGCACAGTGAGCAGCACACGGTCATGAATATTGGATGTCACTTCAGTGAGTATCATAGAAACATAAAACATCCCAAGTCAGAAGGGACCCACAAGGATCATCAAATCCAACTCATGTCTCCACACAGCACCACCCAAATCTAAACCCTGTGTCTGAGTGTGCTGTCCAAACGTTCCTTGAACTCTGACAGCCCTGGGCCGTGCCCACTGCTCTGGGCAGCCTGTTCCATGCTCACTGCCTCTGGAGCAGAGCCTTTCCCTGATATCCAACCTGAGCAGGATACATAGCAGGATCTAATTTCTACCCCAGATGCTTACACATCTGTACGGGAACTGTTGATCACTGCCTGAACCTCTGATTGACCACCTGAGTCAGCCATGGAGCACAGCTGAAAGCAATTCACCTGTGTGACTGGAAGGGGTGGAGCCTGGCTCCAGCTCTCCAGACCCCATTTAAGGACTGACTGCCAGTGAGGAAGGATTTCTCTCTGGAGGTTGCTTCTTGTGGAGTTTATTGCAAGCCTACAATGCTGGTGAGCATTTTCATTTATTCTGATTGTCATACCACAATAATCTTACTTAATCTTACTGAGCCTAACATCTGTATACTTATTGACTGTATACAAATCCTATTGGGTTTCTTGTATAAAGTGCCTCTGGAAATCTGTTCCTTAACATTTTACATCTCACCCAGTTGCTCTCAGCTGGGTGCTAGGCTGCTTCACTACCTATGCAGCTGTAGTTACAGCAGTGGGGAGCAGGAGTGATGTCAGCTAACCAGATCAGATCTGGTTACTCAGTCTGCAGTTTTTCATAAGGCCAAAACAAATATCTTCCTGCCCAGTTCAGCAGGAATTTATATTTTGCATCACTGCAATTTCCATGCAGTTTAAATGGTGAATGGCTGAGATGTACTTCTTGCTTCTAATTTATGCAAATTCCATTGGATCTCTCCCAGCTGTGTGCAAAGATCTCTGCCTGCTGGGTACTAGCAGTAGCTGTGAGAGAGTGGGGAGGAGGTGGGGGGATGCAGAGAGTGATGCAGGCAGATAGCAGCACAATGGTGTCAGTGGATGACATCAAATAGCCCTAAGGGCAGTCCTACAGGCTGGCCTCCAGGCAATGGGATGCTTGCAGAGCTCCACCTGCATGTGCAACAGTGATAGATAAGAAAGTAAGTTCCAATAATCAGGATTTCATTTCATTATTGTTTTCTGATGCATCCTTTTTGTATTTCAACATGACAGATGGGGCGTGGAATAATGTCATTGCAAGAGAAGTGGATGCACTGACACAACCTCATGCAGTGTATTCAGGGAAGGGAGAGTAAGGGATGAAAGCAAGATACAGCTGGCAGCAAGCAGAAGAATAACAGCATCCCCCTGAAATATACATCACCTATATATATATATATCCCCCTACATATATCATTATTCTGCACCTGCGAGTCCTTAATATCAATCTGGTTTGTTTTTCTTTAATTTAATTTATTAATAAGATTTTTATTAGCCACTATTGAATCTGAGATTTGTATTCAAGAAAGGAAATGTCTCCATCATCTCCTCTGATGTCACCCCAGAGAGAAGATTAGAAGATTAGCTGTGTCAGCTGACACCAGCCCAGCGGCAGCAAAAATAATTTTGCACATTCAAAGAGAATGAGGGAGAAATTCCTCCAAGAAATGTGAGCCTGACAGAGGCAATTGTTGGCTCACAACAAGAACGCTTTGTGCAAATGTGCAGATATACAGTAAATAAAATAAGCAGATCAAAGACTTGGAAGAAGATTCTTCTTAAGGAAGAAATAAGTGGATGGTCTCAATCTCAGCGGTGTTTTGGTCTCACCTGATTTACAAGCAGTTGCATTCCTGGAGGATGAGTTACAAAAGGCCATTGAAATTACATGAGGAAATATAAATGCTACATTTAAAAAATAAAGTTGGAGGACTGAGGCAGAATTTGTGTTCCCATCAATTTGTAGGAGCTATTCATGCACAGTGCAATTAGTGCTAATGGGATTTCCCTCTGCTGATGTTCCAGATGTTAATGAAATGCCTCATGTTGAACTTAAAAAGCAAAAGAGAAATTCTACAATTAGGTTTGATCTTGATTTCTCTGGATTTAGTGGCTTTACTGTGGACTATTTCAGTGGAACTGAGGCTTGCACAGCTGAGCGTGGCTGTATTCACTCTGCATAGATCTTGTGGAAAAGGGAGTGTTGAGCTCTGAATGTAAATATTATGGTATCATGTTTGGGTTTGCAGAGAAGGTGAGAGTCTTGCAAACCTGATTTGGCAGCTGCGAAAATAACACTCCGGCAAACAGATGTTCTCTGTGATGAGGGAAGTCTTTTAAAAGATTCACAAATTAATGAGAACTGCCAGGTTTTTAGTGGTTCCTACCAGAATTCCTATAAATCAGCCTAGCTGAGTAAGGAGGCAGGGATGAGAGGAATCAATAACCTCACCAAACAGCCTGTATACCCAAGGTTAGCTGACAAAGGGCTTCAGAGCTGGGAAATCCCAAGAGGAATTAAGGAGGTACAATATCATCCTTCCTGAAGGCAAAAGCTGCAACATCAGTTGTGTGCAGTAAGTGCTCTGGGGGCTAATTGCAGCCAGCAGCAATCAGGGATATTGGCTCAGCAATGAGGAGATGTGAGGTGTCAGCACTCTGTGTTATTGGCTCATCCTGGCAGCACTGAAGTGGGGGAAGTGAAGCTCCCTACTTCACCTGCAGGTTGATAACACAGCTATCAAGGTATTGTGCTCCCACCTGCCTTCAGCCCTGATGGAAACCAGCCCTGAGCTGCATGTTGCCCAGAGGAGTGGTGGAGTCACAATCCCTATAGATTTTCAAGAGCTTTGTAGGTGTGGCACTGAGGAACATGGTTTGGTGAGCACAGTGGGGATGAATTGACGGATGGGCTAGGTGATCTTAGTGGTCTTTTCCAAAGTTAGTGATTCTATAATTCTAACAGAGTGGTTACAAGAGTTGAAGACATTCACACCTTCAAAATACTGCCTCCCAATTGCTAGTCTTAACTTCGTGAATTTCTGCCTACTTAGAGTCGTGTCAAACTTAGATTTCACCAGCCCAGCAGAAATCATGCCATGAAAATTGTCACTGTTAAATGGTAGCCTTGGTGGGTCAACAAAAGGTCTGTGTTTCATCCCATGCTTGTAGGAGCAAACTACACTCCAGCTGTGGGCAAATACATCCCCTAGAATGGGATTGAACAAGCAGCAGGTGATGGGCTGCATAATCATGGCCAAAACCACAGCTGACAAGCACTTCTCTTGCAACCTTGTGCTGTGAAAAATTGTCTGTGATTTCCTCCTCATAGGTGTTCCTCTATCCTGTGTCTTCTGGAATAGCCAGCAGCAGAGTGAGCACCAGAGAGCAGCAATAATCTCTGACCAATCTCTCCACTCATCTGCTCCACCAGGCACTGTTCTTTCCAGCACTGGGTGTGGGCCTATTGGGCAAGGAAACAGAATTAATTAAGGAATTGCTAATGGAATCAGACCTGAACAACAGAGAAATTTATTTATTAGGTTATCTATGAATGCAACATGATGTACTTTACAATCCACTTTCATTTGCTGCTTTGCAATCATTTGTCAAGGGCGCCTGCCAGCAGGAATGACCAGGGAGGAGCTTTCATTTGTAGTCATGTGGGAATGCCTCCACCTTACAATAAACACAGCTACAATTAACGGAAGCAGTGACCTTGTTGGCAATTTCTGCAAAGAGGACAAGACTCCATGGGAATAACAAATAAAGCAGATTATTATCACTTAGGTGACCTTTGTGAGTCACACAGGGGCTGGAATGAGTTGCAGGGGCCATCTCAAGGCTCCTGCTGCCACCATAAGGAGAGGTCCCAGGGAAGGGATTTTCCCAATATCACTCATCATGGGTGAGGGGCAAGCAAAGGAATTCATGGAACCAGGCTGTCAGACTGCAAAAATGAAAGTTGCAATGATGCCAACATGAAAAAAAAAAAAAAAAAAAAAAAAGGAAAAAAATCTTTTCATTCATTGCTCATGAAAAATGTGAGAATCTCAATTTTTTTTCCTTTTTACTAGAAATCTCAGTGAATGGAAAGATATTTTCTCCCAGCAGGCTGATCACTTAAGGGATTTGGTCAGTAGCAACTGCTGCAGGACTGCTGGAAAAGGGGCTTCAGGTACGTGTATCCTTTCACTTGCTTAGCCAACCACAGCCTGGCCAGATGCGCACTGAAAGGCTGCAGGCACTTCAGTGACTTTTCAAGATACTCAATGCTGCTGCAGCAAAGTGCTTCTGTCAGTGCACGAGCAAATGCCACAGCCTGCCCTGGAAGCTCAAGGAAGAATACGTTTCAAATTGTAGGGGCAATAATCCTTGTGATTTCCTAGTTTGGTGCACGAAGCTGCTCTTTCCTTCTCAGTCCCAGCTCTGCTCCAGGACTGGCTGTCTCCTGTTTTCATTTCTGTACACAGGCATCACAGCTTGCTGCATGGGGCAGCCAGGGGAATCCCAGGGCTTTAATACCAGCGAGGCCAAGAGCTTCCATCCTGGGCAGTCTCATAGCCCCAGGGCTGCCCCTTGCAGAGCTTAGCTGTGACTGTCCATGGGCCTTTACCCCAGGCACAACATCATGCTGTTCTTCTCACCATGTCCTGGATCCAGTCCTTACCTATTGCTTTATTAATCTACAGAAATGACATGAGCTGCTCAGGGATCCTGGTGTTCCCGGGGCACGCTGTCAGTGCATAGCACTTAACATCTCATTACAAAATTACACTTAAAAGTTACAAAACCTTCTTAATGAGAAGATATTAAGCTTGCAAGGAATAGATCAGAGAAATACAAAGGCTGCGGAGCTGAAATTTAATCCACCATTGATCTTTTAGTTAGGAAAGTAGCAGAGGCCCAAGAGCAATCTGTCTCACAGCAGAGCCCACATCTAAGGAAACACCACTTACGAATCACAGAATCATAGAATCATAGAAAGGTTGGAAAAGACCTCCAAGATCACCCAGTCCAACTGCACACCCAGCATACTTCGCCTCTAAACCATGGCCCTTAGTACAACATATATGGTCAAATGTCAAGTTGTTTGTTTTGCAAAGGGCAGTGAGGCAATCATATTTCTGTTTGGAGTTTCTCCTCAGAGAGAAGGAAGAGTAAGCCAAGCAGTTTTCCTTTCAGTATGCATGCATTCGGAAACAGCTGCTCAGTTCCCAAATGTTATGGCTTTCCTGTCTCCCCATGGGCACAGCATCCCCAAACACCTTCCTGACACAGCATTCACAAACACCTGCTTCCTCTGAGAGCCCCTGGCACCTCAACAGCTGAGATGAATACCCACCTGTCTGAGGAGAGAGCTTGGCATTGTGCTTTCCTGCAGCTTAATGTCCCTTTTCATCCCAGTTTCCTCAAGTAACATGACTCACACAGTCCCTTCTGTAATAAGTCCTGCACCTGCTGGCTGGTTCCAAGATCCAGGATGGGGATGAGATTTGCCTGGTTGAAGACTGTAGCACCAGAGATAGGCTATGAGCATGAGGGGGTTTCCATCAGCCCATGTGCATGGCCATGCAGCACACGCAGCACCATAAACATAAATCCCACATGGATGTGTGATGGGGCCATGGGTTTGAGATGGGTGGCTGCCAGGGGGACAAGGTTGTGGATGACCATTGTGATGTGCTGGGGTTGTGATGGATAACCCAAGGGGCAAGCTGGTGTTGCCACAATCAGAAAGATTGGCACAAAGGAAGGACAAAAAATATTTCACCTTCACCTTCCTCATTTCCACTGCTAGCCCTCCACACTGCTCAGGCACAGCTCTTGCTGCAATCCCTGCTGCCCAGCTGTTTCACCAACCTGCTCTGCCACAAGAGATCTCAGAGCAGAGACTCTGCTCCTCTCATGGCTCCTTTCCATTTTCCTGCTCCCTGCTATTTATTACTCAGTGGTGCTCGGGGCAGGAATGCAGACCCAGCAGGCTAAGTTTAGTTCGTGGCTCTGCCAGAGATTTCTTCCCTGACACTAAACAAGAGATTAAATTTCTCTGTGCCTCAGTTTCCCTCTGTAAGCCATAGATAGCAAAGTTTCCCTTTGTAATCCATCCTAGTTCAGCTTTATGATGCTTGTTTTTGCTCTGTGTATTATTGGAGTTCCTGCCCCCACTGAGCTCTCAGCTACTTCTGTATTTAGTACTTCCATGTGTTTCCATCAAGGGTCTTATTACAGTTTTGATATGGAGTACAAAATACCGACCAGAGTTGAAGTAAAATTCTTCCCAGTATTCTTTTCTAGTTTGTATGGATTTCCACTTGAATGGTAATTCTCTCACAAATTAATCTGGGATTGTTTTCACAGTTCTGGAAGTGATGTGGGCACAGAAAGCATACCACAGAATCACAGAACTGTAAGGCTTGGAAGGGACCTCGGGAGGTCTTTGAGTACAGCCCCTCTGCCAAAGCAGGTTCCCTACATTAGGTTGCAGTCACACTGCAAGCACACATCTGATATGCCACCTACCATCACACCTTGCTCTTGTTGCACACACCATCCCTTCCCTGCCCCTGCCAGCCCTGCTGACCACCTCTTCCAAGCTGTGTTGCCACCGAGTACATTTGGTTGTGTTTTTCCCAAGGCAAATCTCATTGTGTCATTTTCTGCCCGTGTTTCTAATCTCACTGCTTCCCTTTATGCTGTCTTTTCACATCCTAACCAGCAGGTACAAACCTATTTTATTATCATCATCTAGGAAAGTCATTAGCATTTTATTCCCTTCTGCATCTCAGCAATAAAGATGCCAGCTAAGACAGGTCTGATGAGGATGGCAAGGAGGAAGAGCAAACTTCTGTGAGAATTACATCTGTGTTACAGCTCTTCCTGCAGGACCCTTTGGAAAAATCTGCTTTTGTAGATGTAACCAGAACAGTACCCATCAGTGCTGTGGGACTGAGATGTCAGGAGTCTTTTCTTGCAACAAGAAAAGAAAGACTTATGTATGAGCTGAAGACTGGGTACAATGTTGTCTCTTTAAAAATATTATCCAGCAACACATTACAAAGCAAACCTCTTCTATCACATCCATATTTCATCTGCACCTCAGAACTGTAATTAATGGCACAAGAGGCTTCATGTGACAAGCTGTCCTCAGGGCAGACTTTTTATCTACATCAACAGCGCTCTCCATTATGGTTTCTCTTGGCAGAATTTTTCTTTTGGTGCTCCCTCACAGAGAGCAGAGATGTGATCCACATTCTTCTCTCTGTGGATGAAAACTTCCCTTAGATACAATAAGACTAAAGAGAGCAGTTTCTCAAGGATGGAAGAAGATGCACAAGGACATACATGAGGTGAGGGGAAGAGAAAACCCACTTGCAAAGCCTGCCTGCTAGGTGAAGCAAGCACTAATTCAGACTAAATATGATCTAAATTAAATGCCATGCAGCACCAGCAACCCAAAGGCAGACGATCCGATTTCACTGAAGTTATGCCAGGACTGAATTTGACCCTCAGCATTATGTGGTATCTACATTTATGGCCAGGAAATCTGAAATACACATGTACACCCTAACACAGGTGCCCTAGTTGTGGCTGGTGCTCCAAAACACTCAGCTGCTCCTCAGCATCCCTGGTGAATATTTTGGGTGGTTATCTACCTCCATCTTCAGGAAAAGGTTACTGTGGCTTTCTGAAAACGTGAGGAGTGATAAAGTTGTTGTGCTCACATAGCAAGTGCTGGGGGGAACTATACTTTTTCTAACCAATTCAAAGGCAAAAATAATGACAAAAGAAACGCTAACCTTCATGCAAGGTCTGTTTGATGTAACAAGTAGCATGTGCTGAACCCATCCCAAGGCAAATCGACCCATAGCAGGATGGAGCTGCACAGAAATTAACCCCAAGAAGAACCAGAGTGCAATGAACCGCAGGATCCCAAGGACTTCTAGACACCAGATTACAGATCTTAGGCTAATAGCCTAAGGGTCAACACTCACAGCTTGGTCTCATACAGTCTCCTCAGCACTTTGAATACTCAAAAGTAGAGTTTGGTGTTGTTGGGTGCTTTTCTTTTTTTGGCTGCATTTGCTCAGCATTGAATTATTTCTTCTGGAATGTGACAAAAGCTAACACTTCTAGTTCTTCTTATTCTTTATTGGGATTACTGATAAGTCAGATGTGGGGTGGTTCTACAAGTTTAGTTAGTTAGATGTGGTTTAATAAAACCCAAATCTGGGTTTTTGTTTGGCTCTTCTAGATTACATCTGGATTTAATTTGGTGGGTCTTTTTTGGGTTTTTTGTTTTGTTTTGTTTTTTTTTTTTTGTTTTGTTTTTTTTGTTTGTTTGTTTGTTTTGTTTTTTTAAAATCTTCCAAGCAAAGATTTCATTCCTTTGGGTAATTTATCTCCAGTTTGTCATCCATTACCTACACCTCTCTCGCAATTCTGCAAAATACTGTCTCATTCCTATACCTCTATTTTTAGAAATAGTCCTTATATGAAAAGCATAGTTAATTTATTGACACTGAATGCTGCAGAACTGGCAATACACAAGAAAAAGGTGACATATTAAACCTTGAAATTCATGGACTCCTACGGATACCTGATGTTTCCAAAATTATTTCCCAAACCTGCACTAACACAGATGGTGAGGTGTCACAGGTTGTTGGATTAGTGATGAACAATACATAAAGGAGACAAGCATCAGTATTGCACATGGCCTCATTGGATGCCTCCTGCATCCACATTTGTCCGTCCTGGAGGATATCCTCACCACCAGTGCCAATAGAAGGATCTGCTCTTCTGATGGACTTCAGCAGTGGTGCTGGTGACAGGACTCAGCTCTCCCAAATCTCTCCATATGGCCATCGGGTTCCTCTCCTCTCTAATCTCACATCGCTGCACTCGCATAACCTTCAGCATGTGCCACCACTTGTTTGTGCTGTGCCTCCCTATCTGAGAAAGAAAAAAAGCAATGCCGATGTGATTGAAGATAATGAGCTGCTGATTAGCACTGGAGAACACAACAGAAAACATTTCATTTAAATTGCCTTTCTTGTTGAGTTAATTAAAATAAAACAAAGCTTCTCAGCTTCATTATAGTGCCTGCTTGGCTCAAAGCAGCGCGGCTAAACAGGTTGGCAATTAATATTTGTGTCGCCTTCCACCTGCTATTAGCATAACAACAGAGACTAACAGCACCTTTCCGACTGGATTCTCGGTGATTCAGTGCTGCCGGACTACTGACATCCTCCTGTCAGCACCCACACGAGCTGTGGGCGATGTCTGCCTACCACTCACCCTCGTGCACTTACATTCTGCTTTCTGTAGTGCTCCCATATCTCCCATCTGCCCAATGAGGCCGGTTTAGGAGACCGTAAAAGCTTTGGCTGGAGCATTAGGGAGATTTCTGACCACAGCCCGATGGCTGATAAGGTTTGAAGTCAGTCGAAGCATCAGGAAGGCCATAAAGACGTGAGTGACGCTCACGGTTTTCGGACGCCGCCTTTCGCTGTGTATGCAGTTACTACTACCGCCTCTAAACCCTGCTGGTATCTGTGACTGCCCTCTCCTGGACAACAATGGCATTGCCTTCGTGTGTATTTTTTCCCCACCAGAACGTTAGACCTACAGAAAATTAACATTTCATTATTAATTTAGAGTTATATATGTATATTACATACATAAAATATACATTATAATTTATACACTTTGTATATCACATACATAAGCATAAATACGTATAGCCAAGAGCACAAATACTTGAATTTTCTGCCATTCTTAATACCTGGTTCTATGCACCTCTTCACACAGTGACTCATAAACACACATTCTTTCTCTGTTCACCAATATTATCAGTTTTTTTTTTTTTTAATTACTACTGTCATTTTTTAATCAGCTGCAGGTCCAGCCCCAATCTAAGCAACATTCCTTCTCTCACCTACAGATCAATCATAACAATGACAGAATCAAGTGAAAAGGAAAGACACTCATAGGCCTTTGCAAATTGCCATCTATTTTCTAGCAATTTCATCACAAAGTCAGAAATAGAATTTGACTACGTACAATTAAGAAATCACAGTTAAAAGAGTGGCACAGTTAGGATGGTATTTTACAGGTTTGTAGTTGAAAAGATTATCGTGATGGAAAATCGTGATGGAAAAAGACAATCAAAAATGAAATGCTCACCCATATCCTAGGCTCACAATAGAAAACACCAAAAGGAGAGATCTCCAGAAAAAGAACCTTCCCTAGGTAGCAGTCAGCCCTTAAATGGGATCTAGGACCCTTCCAGTCACACAGCTGAATTGCCTTCACCTGTGCTCCCACGGCTGACCCATCCTTGCCTCAGGTGATCAATCAGTGCTTCAGGCCCTGACTCAGCAGTTCCCATACAGACTGTGGTGAACTAAGTAATTGGTACAGGTGTTTTTAACATAACAAAGAAACAAAATGTTTTCATAAATGTTAATGAGTCAAAAATATGCTAATTTCCAATAAAATTCACAATTGGAGATCCATTGCATCATAGCCAGGCAATAACAGACCACCAAGAACAGCAAAGCTTTGTGTTGTTGTTTCTAAGCAGCATTTTTGTTGGTACGGATTTGAGCTTTACTTCTGGGCAGCTCAAAAAGCTCCCATTTGAAAATCAGATCACAATGTCTGGCCGAGGTCTGATTGCCCTGCATGAAAATGTCTGCCTTTGCTAATTGGTCTCCAGTGTGGGACAGACGATGTGTAGTTAATCATTCAAGAAGCTTGTTAGGCTCACACCATATTCATTGTTACATTTGCTGATCTCTTATGTGCTTGAAAATGCTCTCCTCAGTACAGACTCTCCTCAATAATAGCGGGGAAGTAATAAAACTAATCAAATTCATTATCCCTCTTCTACCTTGGTATTCCTCCATTAATTTTGATGGCCTCATTCGATATATGCAGGAGTACAGAAATTCCAGCCACTGGCTTTGCTGTTTGTGGAAATGGACTTCAACCCAAAAAGATCAGACAAGCATCTGTGGGCAAATTTGACCATTTCAAAATTTTTTAAGAGGAATAACTCATTTTTTTCTTTAGGCATTTTGCTGAAAAGGCAGCCTAAAGCAGACAGAACTGCTTCAACAGACATGCAGAATACTAGAAAACATTGAATCCAGTGAGAGTTAGTGGTGTGGCTGTGCCTTAGGTTTATTCCTGGCTATAAAAAAAAAAAATAGCATTAATACTGCAGTCTCCTGCAAGGACAAATTTGTGAGGAGATACAGGGATGCTGTGATGCTCTGACCATTCATTTTCCCCACTAAGAGTGGTGGGGATGCTGCAAGCCATAGAATGAGAGAGTAGGAGAAGCCCTTCTCCATGTGCCCACCAGCACAGCAGGTAGAGCCAGGCAATATCCTTGGTGTGGGCTGATGGTGCTGACAGTAGGGAGATGGAAAGAGGCAGGGCACCATGCTCTTGTGTGGAGACAGTCATTAAAATGATAGTGTTCCGCTGTACATGTGAGAGCTGCTCTGCAAAGAAACACTGGAGTGAGATGGGCACAGAGCACTTACCCACACTCTGGGCAATATCATTAGAATGGAAAAAAAAATTGAACAACAGGTAGGAATGCACAGCAAGAGCAAAATGTGAGAGCAGACAGATGTCAGCTCCATTAGCTCATTAAGGGTGGAGATGTTGGCATGCTGGGAAATTATTGTCCACTTTATGTCTCGATATTGGAAAGAAATTTACTAAAAGAGCCAAGGCAGTTTGAACACTTGAGCTGCTTAATTATGCCTTTTAAAGTTGTCTTTGAAGCCACAGAGCAAAGGATGAATGAAATACACTCTGAAGCTCCTTATTAGTCATTCCTTTCTCTGATGGCAATAATTACGTTGTTCTACATTGGAACGAGTGTTCCTAGTGAATCCCCATACTCCTCAATAACACTTGCAGCAGGGCAAGCTGTGATAGTGATGCAAGTAATTAGAGCTGGGCCTGCAGGATACGAGAGCCACCGAGGTCAGCTGCAAACGTCCCTCCTGGGCAGAGCATCACAGGCTCATCTCCAGAGGTTTAGGCCAGGTGTGAAATCCTTAGGATCTGGGGAAATTGAGAGCAAATGGTTTGACTGCTGCTCATCATGCAGACTCCAAGGGAATTTCCTTCCTTATAGCTGGCCATGTGCAGAATGCTAAATGAAATCTTTTCATGCAACCTGTAGGAAAGACTATTACCATTCTTCAGTCTATATTCCTGTGCAATGTGCTGCTTGACCTGTAACAGACACAGTATCAATTGTCCTGACTCTGTTAAACCTTAAAATCCACCCACTAATGGCCTACAGCAAACAAGCAACAACAAACGAGCAACCCATAAAATGACAGTGATGTCTGAGCAGCACTTTTCTGCCACTGATGCTACATCTGGCATTGGCAGAGCAAGACTGCACCGAAGCCACATCCCGCAGAGCACCTGCACATGGCAGCAGCACGGCAGATTGCAGTGGGATTTTCTCTGGCAGCACCTGACACAGGCATGAATAATAAAGGCCCTCGTTAATCATTTACAGAATTGCTGTTCCTGTGGATTCATCAGGATTAAAGACTCTTGCTGAAGATTTCCCATCGCATGAAGCACTTGGGTTTTGTGCTTGCTGACGGCAAAGAGTGAGGGCTGACGTTGTGAAGCCTTCCTACATCCCATCCAGCACAGGCTGGCCTTGAGTCTGATGGAACTCAAATGGCAGAAGAAAGACTGAAAGGGGAGTAAAGAAAAGCAAAATCCACATCTTAGAACAGAACTCTCCCTCTTCAACCCCACCCCTCTTCAACCCCAGATGAGCGCAATGTTTGGCTCTGTCTTTGCTCTTGCAGCCCTGCCTGCACCGGCCAAGCACGGCCACAGGAGGGGACCGCTGCAGCGGCTTTCCCCAGCCCGCACGGCGCGGACTGAGCCGGGAGCCCTGGGGTGGGCAGAGCCACGCCGGGGTCAGCTTGAATGTGATGTGCCCAGAGCCCAGAATGGACACAGAACCGAATAATGTAATCGTGTGTGAACGACTGGAATAAATGCGGGCACGTCGCCGCTGTTATTCAAAGCAAGAGAACTGTGTGTAATCACATCAGCTGTGAGCATCATACATAGCATGAGACAGTTAGCAAGTTATATGCTTCGGATACCCAAACATACAGCAAAGTCAATCACAGCATCAAGATCTCTCTGTGTTTGAGATTATGCATGCAGGACTGGGGAAGGGAAAACACGCTGTGATTTCATGCTCCTGGAGTGTTCCTCTCGACAAGACTCCTTCCCGTAGTGTCTAAAAAAATGTCCTTGCTAATGTAAATAAAAACCATAGAATCACTCAAAACTTTAAAGATCATCAAGTCCAATCACAACCTAACCATACTATCTAAAATACTTGTCTTGTATTTTATTTTATTTTATCTGTGGGGGTATCTATCTGAAAGATGCTTGTTTTCCATCTGCAGATCTTCACCTATAGCTCCAGCTCAGGCGCAGTGCCTGCTCTGCATCTCACTGCATGGTTATGCACACATGTAGCCTGCACAAAGGTTGGGAACCACTGCTTTGAGGCAAATCTTGGGCTGGGTTGGAAGCTTGCTGAAGTCAACATGACTCCCACTGTGATTTTATCAGGCCTATCATTAATTCCCTAATGAAGACAGCCATTTATCTTTATTAGACGGACTCTTCAGTGGATTGATTTAATCTAGAAAACTTATCCATGACAAATTTTCAGAACCCCATGCGCTCCTGGCTCTGTGAGGAGCCCAGCCTCGTCCTCTGCCAAACATGCTCTGCTTCCCAAGGAGCTAATCAGCCGGCCCATCTCTTCTCAATCAATAAGCATTTATTCTAATTGAAACCAACATCGACTGGATACCGACCAGGAATGTGAAACCGGCCATGGTTAATGTGCATGAGCTGGAGAGCAGGAGGCGACATGACTGTCAATGGGAGCGCTAGCAGGGACATGCCACCCGGCTCTCTGTCACTCTCCAAATGCCCTATTTACGGCTCTCACCAGGGAGCTCTCTGTCTCGCTTTGATGATGAATTAATTTCCTCTGATGGATAAACCTCACAGTCCCCCATTGCAACACCTTACAGAATGCATTGCCTAACGAGAATGGCTCATTAACATATAAATCATGATGTATTTCTTTTTGGCACCACCGGCAAAACAGTGGGCTTAGCGCTCCCCCCTCATTTCACTTTTTCCCTAGAGGGAGAACTTTCATTGATTGCTTAATGGAAGGCGGAAAGAGTGAAATCACCTAATTGTGTGACTCCTCTGATGTGCTACTGCTTAGACTTTAAGTAAGCATTCGAGTTCCCCCGTGTGTTCATTGTCTCTGTGTTTTATTGCTGAGTTAAGGTATGAGGCTTCTCTATCATAACCTGTTATGACAACAGTTGTTCAGGTGTTACTTCACCAAGTGTCAGGGTCTGCTGAATACCCTGCCTGCCATGTGGATAAAGCCTAAATTAACAATGAAGGTGCCAGACCAGGAATCTGTCAGATCTGTACAGTCTTTTGCAGAAAGAGCTGCTTGCATCATGCTGCAGGGGATGTGCTCTATCTGCAGAGATAAAAGCCAGCCCCAGGCCAGGAGCTGAGCAGCCCTTACCAGCACTGCCCTGTGCTACAGTTCATAAACCCTTTATATATTCCACCTGGGAAACACTAGCAAAACACCCTCAGGCACTGAGTGCATTGTGTTTAGCTCTGCTATAAGCTGGGTGGGTGATAGTAGGTGGCTGACATGCTCTTTGGGACTCAGTTTTTCAATCTGAGCAGATTAGATTAGCTGAACTAATAATTTTTCAGCATTTCACTCACTCTGCCTATGAAAGAAAGAGCTACAAACTCCCTCCATTTCTCCTTGACTGGACTGCACAGCAATTCTGGCTTTTCAAGCTGGCTGTCACAGGCAGCTGTATCTGCTGAGCCTGACTTGGATATGAGGACAGGAAGCACCACGCTGCCTGTTGAATGGGACGAGGCCTATCTTGGTGAGGGATGCACACTGCAGCTCCACCTCACCTTTCAATGGAATGCAAAACACAGCCTCCAGCCTCCAGCATGCACGAGCCAGCTCACCCTCACTCCAACCTTCTGTTTACCACCCGTTTGCTATGTTGTGCAGGATTTAAAGCATGGATACATTCTTATTCCTTGTTTTGTGTTTACCTGAGTGAGATGGGTATCACTTTAATTAAACCAGCTTCAAGTCAGTTT